TTGAGGGTTATTTCCACATTGCTCCACTTCTGTAGCTTCCTGACAGCTTAAAAGGGGTAAAATGATTGCTTGAGCCATTTTGTCTAGGAAGACAGAAAACAGAAATTGCTCTGTAGAGTGGCAGTCCCCAGAAGAGGAATAAATAGCAGAGGGAAATAAGGTGATACTATGTTGCAGCTCCTGCCACAGCTCGCTGCAAATGCATGTCTTCAGGTGAGACTTTCTGTCTTGTTTACAGAGTTAGAGGAGGTTGTTAACTTCCAGGATGTGTGCCATACCTTGTCTGAAAATAGTTTCGATTCTAGCAAGAAGTGCTGAGGAAAGAAAATGCAGCTTTTCGTGCCCCAGAAAAGAGGGGAAAATCACAGATAACATCAGATACAGAGTACACCCTTCCCCTTCGAAATTATCCATATTCACAAGTGAGTCAGATCAGCTGTTACTTCTACCTCTCTCTTTCTGTGAGTATATTCAAGTTAGCAATATTTTGATGTCCTTGAAAACTGTAAGGAAAGCATTGTTTTTCAAAAGGGGTTTTTTTTTTTTTTTGAGGTTTCTGCAAAATGAGATAAAAGAATTCTTTCTATTGCTTCAGATTGTTAGCACAGAATACATCCAGAGAAAGTTACCACAGATAGATACAACACACACAATTAAAAAAATGCACGTGCACACACACTCCAGAACAAACTGCCCAATGTTAACATCCAGACGTGAATTTAAATCAAAATAATTTTATCTGTTATGGAGGAGAATTAATCTTCATGTATGCTTCTCTGTAGCTGAATACTTACCCCTTCCTCTTTTTATCACTATTTTATTAGCTTCTTTCATAAAAGCCACTGAAATGGACAAAGAACTCTACTGTATACTTAATTTAAGTTCTACTTGCAGTTGTTAAAATGGAGCATGGATCAAATGTGTCATGAACTCTGATTTGTCACCAGGTATTTCCTTTTAGTTCAGCTTAATGCATTTCAATGATGTTAAGGAAACTTATATACCTAGAGGCACTCCCATCCCTAATTATGCAGGTGGATACATTAGTACTCTGTAATTTCACATAGATTTGGGAGTTAAACAGAAAAAAGAAAAGAAAAGAAAAGAAAACCAGGAAAAGGTGCCGGTATTTGTAGCCAGCGAGTTGCGTGATCCAGGTGCTGGAGTATTTGCATGTCTTTCCACCTTTGTTCCTTCAGAGGCGTTGAGGGTCTCAGCTATTGCTGACTAATTGATAGTTGTAGTAACCGCTATAGGCTCCTTAGATTAGAAATGCATGCAGACGTGGGTCTCGATTCAAACACTAAGGAACGCACACCCTCACTTACTTACAGGCAGAAAGTCTTCATACTCATAGAGGTGTGATGGAGATAGCAGGACATAAAACAGAAGAGAGAGAGAGAGAGAGAGAGGGAGAGGGAGAGAGAGAGAGAGATGGCTGGCTGGCAGCAAGTATGCCCCTGCAAATAATTCTAAAGTGCGTTTGCAAAATGCAGAAGCCTTCAGCACCATCCAACAATTCAGACACCCTTTTTATTTCTTCTCTGCGGGACGCCTCCATCCAGACTATTCGCAAAAACACGGAAAAGGTGAGAGCCCTGCCATCTTACTCAGAATTCATCTGATTTCCTTTTTTCCCCCCTGCCTTGTATTCCTCAATCCATTGTCCATGCATCCGATGGCAGCCGCCCTTGCTCTTGAATGCAAGTGTCACAGCAGGAGCAGAAAGAGGGTTGAGGGAAGGCATTGTCAAAGCCAGGTCGGTCAGCTATTGTTTCTTTGCTTTCACTGCTCTTTTTTTTTTTTTTTTTTCCTGAGGCTTTCCCTTACTAGTGGCCTCTGTCCAGGAGGAGGGAGAAAATTGCAAGAGTTCATAGAGTAGTCGAGTGAAGCCGTTTTTATTGCACACTGTTTGATAAACAGCTCAGCGATCCAGTCCACGAAATTAGGAGATAAAGCAAGAGTAGAGGGCTCTGGTGGGAGCGCGAGGGGGGTGGTCTGGGGAGATTGTTTGCTGCAGACTAGATGCCAAACGCAGTTTCTTTGCAAGGACTTCTGTGGTGGTATTTGTTTTCTGCTGCATTTTTGGTTTTAAAAAATCATGAGAAAAGTCTTATTCATCTGTCAAGCTTCCCATTTGTTTATTTTTGTTCAGTTCAACAACTAGATGGAAATTTTAAGCAAGGCCAGATCTGCTGTTTGTGATTTGCTCAAATGTTGGAATCAGTTCAGCCTGAAATCAGTGATTGTCTTTTTCAGATCATTTAAGCTTGCATGTGAAATGTGTGTGGTAACTTTCCAATGTACATTACAAAAAAAAAAAAAAAGAGAGAGAGAGATGCTTTTGACCATCATTGGTGTGGCTATAAATTTTAGGATTATGTTATTTTGCACCTTAACCAGAGAGCTGTTCTTTTGGGCGACATTTATGCAAAAGTGATTATCTGCTGGCCAACTCCTCTGATAACTCCCAAACTTTTCAAAGGTTACAGAGGCACATGCTCAAATAGATTTTTAGGAAAGTATTTCAAATGGCCATTCGACATAAGCATGAAAATGCTAGGAATTTTTTTCCAGCAACTTTAACTTCATGTAATCTATATTTCTTCAGCTGAATAAAAGTGATTAACACTGATTCCACATAGAATCAGAAAGCAGATTAAATTTGAATTCCATATTCAAGCAATTTTGCCAAAAAACAAACAAACTTGCAAATTTTATAAACTTAGTTGCAGTGTAGAAAAATCATGTCTATAATTGATTCTCCACAGTTTTCTTCCTTCTAAATATTGTACTATCTATACTTATGTAGAAAAATCATTCCAAATTGATCACTTCTTTCCCCCCCCTCAAGCCATCTAACTTCTCACATGAGCCTGGGACTCTTCACTATTATCAGAAGTTGCTAAAACTCAGCATTTCAATCCTAAACTGTATTTTAAGCAGAGGAAGAAAATTTTTCTTTCAAGGAACCATTCCATTTTATAACACATGTTGGTGGATTGATGTTCAATATGAGCTCATAATTTCTTTCTTTTCCAAATAATGATTGTAGTCTGTCTGTGAATGTGGGGGAGAATAACTTTTGGGCTCCCTAAGAAAACACCTTAAATTAGAAGTCTGAGGATCCGTGTGTATTAACAGCTACTTTGGCACCCTGCAAATAAATTCCCCCCCTTTCTGTTCTCACTGCCTTGATTTAGGGGACTTGGGCCCAGCCACCCTGCCTCCTTCTTTTGTGAAGGAACATTTTGAAATGTCTATAGAAAGCAAACTTCTCGAAGAAATGCAGAACAGGGCATGGTTTGAATGCAAGTCTGAATTTAATTGTGGCCACCCTGGTAGCTGTTTAATTTCCAACACACATCTACATGATCCTTACAGCAACTCGGGGCCAGGAATTGTGAGCAAGGAAAATTTATCTGTGATAAAGTTACGTATCTTTTGCCAAGGAACAGTCACTTGGGATTGATTCAAAAGTCAGTTTTAAATAAATGTTCCCAAAGCCTTTGTGTATGGGGAAGTTGGTATTGCTAACTTCTTCAGAGTGTTTTGAGCCATGAGGAATGGAGAGCCCCATCTTCTGACCAATCTACTTGGGCAGAATGTGAAGTCAGGGGCAAATGGCTGAAATATTACAAGGCCAGCTAGGATTTCCACTTTAAAATGCTGAAGACAAAGAGGTTAATGAAAAGCTCAGGGTCTCTATGATGGAAGTGGTATAAACAAGTTCCTTCTGCACTCCAAACAGTGGTTCTCCAAGGAGCGGGAAGGAACACTTAGTCCCTTAGTCCCATGGGAGAACAGACTTGGAGGGAACCCCATCTTTTAGCCTGTGCCCCCTGCAGATATTTAATTTCTGCTGGATTAACTTAAAAGGAACAACTGCTCTTGTGGCCAAGGTCAATCCCCAGATATTTTAAAGGCACAAGTTCAAGTTCAACCATTAATCCAAATATTTTACACAACTGTCTAGAGTTGTTCCAGTAGATATAAAACTTGCAAAATCATACAGAAGACCTAACCTGGACATTTCTGAAAAAATGAAAACCCCATCTTTAATATTTTACGTATTGAACGCAATGTGGTTAAAAGATTATTTGTGCCTTTTATCTTCTGGGCCTTAAAAATACAAATCTTTAAAAAACAAAGGGAAGAATAGTATCTTTTGGCATTTTGGAAGAACACCTTACTAAGAAGCAAGCAAAAGATCACATATATGTCTGTGTAAATGATAAAAAAGGATGTAGCTCTTCTACTTCTATTTGCCCACAGGCCCTCAGGCTGATTTAATATAACCACTAAAATGGCAGGGGATGGCCCAAAATGCTAAACCATGTTCAATCCCCTCATTAACTCCAAACATTTTCATTCAACTGAATTTTTTTTTTTTTTTTTCAAAAGCTTATGGTTTGTTGAGACTCTACAGTTAAGTTACAGACACACCTCTCAAGGTCCTCACCTTTTAAATCCTTTTGGATTTCTTTTTTCTCTTCTAAATTTGGAGGACAGTTGTGCTATCCCTTTCTGAATGAATAGCACACCTCCTTCTACCTAACTGTATGAGGCCTTCAGAGATAAAGTTGCTCATTTAACTTCCTTTGTGACATAGGGTTCTAAGTATTCATAAGAAGTATAAAACATATTAGCAAAATGAAGACTCTCTACTGTGCTAATCAACCAGCACAACAAACTGTTCTTGTTGCATTTTGGGAAGCAAATAGAAAGCTCCTAATGGTTTGTTAAATTAGCAAAGAGGTGGCATTTGGATATGATGTTTTATGTTCAGGAGTTGGGTTTAAAAATAAGCAAGTGTGGAGAATGAGGATGCCATTTACAAAGGATGCTTTGACTGAGCTCTATTTTCTCCCCAGATTTATTTTTCTGGGGTGGGGGGGAGGTGTGTACTATTTCACTTATATAGACTTGCTAGGCTAACTGCAGATGTTTGGGATTTCCTCAAAAAACAATTACATTATTTTGACAGTTGACATTTTAAGCACAGCGTAAGAATCCTAAGAATATTTTAGGAGAAGTTACATGGTAATCCAAGGCTTCCCCCCGCCCACATTCATTTTATGTGAAGTTCTATGTAAAAGAAACACATGATGTGGAGAAAATCCGTCCTCTACCCACTTCTCTGAGAGTAGATCTGAAAGGATGAGAAAAGGATATGTAATATTATATATACATATCCGTGAATATGTAATCCATAAAATGCCTACTCCAGGACTGTTGGCTCGAAAGTTTGTGGGAGGGTATTAAAAGGGATGTCTCAGATTAGCCATCCTTCAAACAGCGAGTGATATTGTAAGGCCTCTCTAACATTCTTCAATCCCTTTTATAAGTCCCTGTCACTTTGGGCCCTCTCACCCTTCCCTCCTCAACTCCAGCGACTGGCAAGGTAGGACTGAAATAAAGCCCGACAGGAAACACCAGTGCCATTTGCCCAGTGAAACCAGGTCACCCAAGCATCCAAGAACTCATAGAATAAATGTAATTTATTCATGTTTTTTAACCTTTTAAAGAAAACCGGTTATTGTCCTTGTTGAAAAACTTTTTTTCCCCCCAAATGCTCAAGTCATTTGATCATCACAATCTAATTTGTCTTTATACTCTTGAAAGGAGTGACTTTTTTCCCCTGACATACGTAAGGGGATACTGAGGACCAGAGAGAGCTTTGGCTTACCCAAGGTTGAGAAACCCATAGTGCTGGATCAGTGGACCAAAGTGAAGAAACTAAGCTTCCTTGTGCCTGTGCTCATCACTTTGCGTGGTTACTCTTGAGATCTCAGAGCAATTCTGGGCTGGTTAGTAGGATCCAAGACCTAGCCTGCCCTTAAAAACTGACAATCAAAGAGGACAGTTGTTTCAGTAAGATGCACTTTGCTGGTTTCAGGGACCTATTTCCTGGTAAAGAGAATCAATTTTTCTGCACATTGGAGACATTTAAGATAGTTTTGAATTTCCCTTTTTTTTCATGTAAAGCATTAACAAAGCAGAACATGGGAACATTAGAATGGATCATATTAGAAGGGTTGAAACTTCTCAAAATGGTTTCCACCCCCCTCCCCCCACTACTTGCTCATCTGGGAAATGACCTAAAATGGCACCTCAGTGTGGTGATCTTCACTGGGGCCCATCCTTCCCTGATGAGGACTTGTTCTTTTGGATAGGCCTACCACTTCATTTTGTACCAGTGAAATTTGGTGGTATGGATAATCAGTTAGAATCACTTAAGCCCAGACTCGTGGTTTTTTTTTTTTTTTTTTTTTTTTTTTTGGTATCAGATTTTACAGGACGAATCTGAACCAGGGCCTCAATTCTTGACTTCATTTCATTCTTCTTGATGGAGCCTTAAAACACTGCATTACGTCTCTTTGGTTAGATTTATTCCTAGGTATCTTATGGTTTTGGGTGCAATTGTAAATGGGATCGACTCCTTAATTTCTCTTTCTTCTGTCTTGTTGTT